TCTTGAACTGACAGCAATTAACTGACCCTAAATTAATCTCGTACACTCCACGTCATCCACAAAAGATTGACATACTTCTTTCTTTTTTCGATAGAGTGCTTCATCGTTCGTCCAAAAAAGAAACCTAAGCCTTCCAGCGATGTCATTGACGAATACTCGTTCTCGTACGTAGATCGTCGATTAATGCCAAGCAACGCCGTACGAAAATCCGTGGCAGCCCTGCCACTCTAATTAAACGGTCAATTGACCGTGCCCTATCCCGGCAGCCAATTAACTACCCTTGATACCCATCCTGGACAAAGGACGAGAGTGGATCGCGCGCTGATGTCCGGAATCCGTCGTGATCTTCCGGCCACGGGGCGCCAAGTAGGAACAGACTCCTCGAATTCCGAGGAAATTCTGTAAACCGCAAGCCGTAGGCTCCGGGTGCCACCGTTCGATCTACCGTGAACCAAATCAAGTTGGCAAAGATTTACGCTGCTCGTGTTTCGTCCCCACGCCGCCTCACGCTTGTATTAACGATGGGAATTTCACGCATGCTCTTCGCGTGTGTACCACCTAGATGCCATCTAGATCACGGGTTTCCGGGGATTGCTATACTTGGATGAATTCGCGCCTGCGCGAGGCATGTGCGCTAAGAACTTTGGCGGTACTTTGGAATAATTCTTTTTAAAAGTGTATGAATTGTAAAGGGTTTCTGAAAGAGGCTTTGATATCTTTTCTTTTAAGGACACATAAATGGAGTAGAATATATTGAAATATTTAGTTTAGATGGAATTATAATTGAGTACAATTTATTTATTATATAATATACTGGAGACCCTTTTGAAGAAATCTTTTAGTTTATGAAATTCTTGAAAGGGAGAGATAAAAATATTAAAATGAAAATAAGTATATGTTCATATATGTATATTAAGTGGGGTTGAATTATACAACAAGGCTAGGTAACATATACGCATATACTACATATTAATCTGTTAATATGATAATTTATCTATGACCACATAAGATGAATATTTCATTAATATTTGAATAATTCTATTGTTGGAATCAGTCACATAACGAGAATAGTTTTGACAACAAATGTAAAACACTTACATCTACAGACTAACTCCATTAAGTAATATATCATGAACAAATTTTTCCTACAATTTGTTAAATAATTCAATTTATTAGTATTCTCAAAATTTTCTTTAGTCGATAACCGAACCTCATAAAATAAAATTATGTTCCACGTGATTTATTTCTTCGTAAATAAATAAACCATAAATAAACCCTATCTCAGTTATTTCGCGGCGCTCTATATTTACAACAGCAATAATTTGCAACTTTCATACGTCGTTTTTTTCGTTCGCTGAATAATCCTTGCAGGACGCCCATTCGATTACGTTTAATTAAACGATGCAATCCGTAATTGCGTCATCGACGGGACGCGCTTCAATTTAAAGTTTTAAAAGTAGCGGCGCGGCAAAGTTGAGCGCTTAATCGTTCGGAAATAGGGAAGCATAATTAACGGCAGAAACTGGAAATTTCCCACTGCCACGAAGAGCCTTTAGTGAACAGCCAAAGTAACGGTTACAGAAATATTAGGAAACTCCTCTACATGAGATAAAACAGGACGTTCCACAGATAGAAATATTTTCAAATTTTTCTTGTTGTTTAAGGACGTAACAGGCGTTCTGTACTTTTTGCAGAAAAAACTTCTAACCAATAATAATGAAAAAATCCAGAAAATAATGAGTTGATGTCGTTTTAAGTGTTTTAGTCAAAATTTTATTGGGAAATCAATACAAACAATTTTTAAATCGTAGGGGGCACAGATGGAAGATAAATTTTGTTGCGATGAAGCATCAGTCGACTTTTCTTATTTTCTTATTATAATTATAAATTATACGACTTCTCAGAATTCCATAAACTTCACAGTTCTAAACATAAAGTACCCCAAACTACCCCTAAAGTGCTACAACTCTGATGGCTAACAATATCTTCTATTCTATTCAAAGGAAAGTGGAAGAATCTGGAAAGTGAAAAGAATCTGCAACCACGAACGATTGAATTCATCAGTTTCTAATGTACATAGACCAACACAGTTGGTCCATACGAGTCGCTCGTATTTCCGCTATTACGAAATCAGCACCGGGTAATCGGAGAAGAAATCGATGTAGAAGTAATTTCAGAAAATACAGCACCCGTCGGCGGCGGTTCTTCTGAAAAGTCGAGTACAGCTGGTGGCCGTAAAGCGCCGCTAAGACGAGCGAACTGCAAATAGCCAGCAGTTTTCGGCCGATGCTTCCACGTCGTTAACGACTTTAACCACTTTCCGTATCCAGCCCATCGACGACTCGCGGAAACGCGCCGATATATTTCTCCCGGCGAACGCGAAAATCCTGGGAATCCATCCCCCCGTTCGCTTTCGCGTCGGTTTACGAAACGAGAAATCCCCTTGAATTTCTTTCCTTCGCGATATCGAATCACACGCGTTTCCAATTAACCATCGTCCGTAGAACGAGAACCTCGACCGGCTTCTAATTTCCAAACGAAACGGATTCCATCCGAACGCGTGTATTCGAATGCTTTTAAAACCCATGAGAATGCATTCCAGTGGTCCGCTGGCCTCTTCCGTTACCCGGTAATGTGCTCGCAGATTTTCAACCACGCAAATGGCTCGAATCGGTTTTGCTAGGGGTCAAGTCCGGATTCTGAAATTGTTCTGGAATATTATCAAGGAACACTTTGTGTTACTATAAATTAACTGTTTGAAAAATATTAAATTTAAGTGGCAAAGCAGTTGGTGAAGTCATATCTTTTTACATATATAATAGAATAATAAATATTAACACCATTTTAAACGATACAATTTTTTTAGGCATTGAATAATTTATTTCAGAGACTATTTCATCGCATTTTTTAACTTTTTGTTTTATTGGGTTGTATTGGGTTGTCTGGATAGTCCATGTCGATTTTTGATAAGTGCTACAGGTTTGAATATATTTGAAATTTAATTCAATATAAATGACATGTGTACATACCTTAAAAGATTGAAAAATTGTGGAACAAAATGGTACCTATATTCAATAAACATACTACATGTACATTCGAAGAATTTCATTTTGTATAGAAAAACCCTCAATATATTTTAATAAATTACTGTGATAACACAGTGGATTTAATATCTTATTAAAAAAAAAAAGAATACAGTAAAACTGAAGTTCTTTTTATAAATGCTCATAGTTCCTTTTGGCAAGAATATTGTACATATCAAAATTCAACCGTGCATCAGAATTTTTTGCAACAACAATCAACAAGAACATACATGCAATAAAGATCCTTTCGTTTTGTCCACTGTTTTACCAAGAGAATTTCACATTCATACCTCTAATAATTTCATCCGCCATCAGATCGTGACCTTTTAATTCCGAAATGTTTCAACACCCGCGTTTGGTTCAAAGAGTTTGTGCGAGCATATCCGAGCGATTTAATATCACCGACCGACCGACGACGGTGTGAAACCGCACGAGGCTACGCACGCGGCCCAACGTTTTATGAAATAGATTTTGGCAACGTCGAGGGACTTCTGGTAAGCATAACCGAGGACGCTTACACGTGTCCGACGCCATCTGGTCGCAGCACGTTCTTTACATTTACGGCGAACGTGCAACATCTTTATCGCGCGTTATGGCGGCTAGAACGTCTTTGAATACCAAAGACACAAATTTCTGCCCGTTCGAAATTCAATATTTTCGGTCGAGCAGCTGCTGCACCTTGGTCTTTGTGGACAATCGTTGATGGAATCGTTAAAAGCTCTCAGGAAGGAACGTTTTTGAATTTAAAGTATGAATATTATGACTATTTAAAACTGTTTAATAAAATAAATGCTAGATAGTATTAAAAATAGACAGTGGCTACATATTTCATTCTTTTATTGGATCAACGCTTATAGAATTCTATTATGAATTTTTCTAAAGCAGTTTAGCGTAAAATATTCAATATTCTCTTTTATTTATGTTATTGCAAAAAATGCAATATAAAAATGCAAAATGGTATATAATTTTTGTAACTATAATAAATACGATTGTACAATTTTTAGACAAATTCTGAAACTATATTTTTTCATATGTATATACAGGGACAAAAAAGTTTGGATAACTTTTACCATCAATAACTTCCTAACGAACAAGTATAGGACAGAAGCATGTTAGTACTTTTCTGTAGAGCACAAGAAACTGTATCGATCTGTGTCGTCAGAAATATAGGTTTCCATTTAAAAAAAAGTGCAGTTGCAGTTTTATGCAGGAAAATGCATGAAATTAGTTGCACGTTATGCTACAATCAAAACCATTTAACTTTCACTTACAAATCATCACAAAATATTTACATATCTTCATTTAATATATCTTTGATCGCGAAAAAGATCACAATCATAAATGGGTTCGTGAATGAACCAAGTTCAAAAATCCCTGGTCTAAGCAATCAACTGAAGCATCCTTTCAGTCTTTTAATTCTATCAGCGACAATAACCCAATTTCAAAATAACCCAATGCTAGATTATAAAGAATACATCGCAAGATGAAGTCGCAGTCCATCGAATACCTAATTCACGAGACAGGGTCGCGGCTCAGGTATTTCAAGGAGTCACGTGTCCCCGGAACAATCGCGTTAGCCACCTCAGCGGTATAAAAAGGCGTCCAGGGTCCCGCGGTAAAGAGCGTGGTAATTAATGAAGACCTTTCGCCGGCACTGAGCCCGTTAACGCAGAAAAACCTATAATCCGACAGTCCCCCGCGAGACGTTGATTTACGACTGCCGCGGTCTCATTATTCTTTCCTTGAGCGCCGATACTACGGACCCGGTACCACGGAATCGCGGGGGAACGCGTTCATAAATCGGCGATTGTTCGTCCCGCGGCGAGACTGCGAGAGAGAGAGAGAGAGAGAGAGAGAGAGAGAGAGAGAGAGAGAGAGACCCTGACTAAAACTGAGAGAGTTTTATTTCTGTTTCAGGAGAACGTACGGAAGCCATGCAACGTGACGCCGGATACGTCTCTTCCGGATGCGACGTCAGCCACTGGCCCGGGCTCCTACTTCCGTTCTCGTGGTTTCTAATACTCGCGCGAAACAGCCAAACTTTCCTGCAATAGCGCCACACCCCGACAGTATTTCACGCTCGCTTCTCTGTTCTCCCGTTCCGGACGAGACAGAGAGGCCAGGCCGAGGAAGTACCTACAAATTCGACCAAGCACGACTAGATTGTAAGCTAGACACTGTAGACATTATTGACGAGAGCGCAACGTCGCGGGACCAGCGCGTTCGAGAGGTGACGCGGTTTTATTTGGACTTTAATTTTAGGAAGAGTGCGGCGATGAATTTCTTCAGGGATCGTTGCACGCGTGAGCCGTTCATTGCAGAAATCGATTTACTCCAACAGTCGCATAAAAATATTAACGTCACTGACGATTATTTCTTGGCTATTCTTTTTTATCAATTTCATACACCGTTGGGTGAAAGATACATCTGTATTTATGCATTTTATAATATTTATTTGGATTTATATTGTAAAGAGAATTTTATGAAAAGCAATGTACATTATTTCGTCGCATTTCTCAACTTTTTTTTTTTATGAAGCTAATCAGTTTTTGCAAAGCCCGAGCGACGAAATTCGCCGAAATACAGCACTTTGTTCCCGGAGCATCCAAAACTTTGCTGTCCCTGGAAAAACAAACGGCTTTTTTATAAATAAATAATACTCTGAGACACGTTCCAAGGAGAATATTACGGAGTTAATATCTTTGTGCAATGAACGGCTTATATGTGAACCTTGAATTGCTTTCTAATCGTCTCCTCGCTGGGTCAAGTTTCGATCGTAGTGTTGTACCTCTGTTTAATTTCTCTTTAAACCTTCTTTCTTCTTTGAATTAATATTAGCATAGTTTATGCTTTCAATTAGAAACGTTTTCTATCAGAAATTTTTTTAATTATTTAATAAAAGTAAAATTTGACTGAGAACGAATGGTTGTGGAAATATAATTAAAGAATTTTATTACCGTGTACTCGAATAAAATTATTTTACATCAGTAAATTAAACGTGGAAGTCTTTTCGTTTCATGGAAATTGTCGATGGCATCTGTAGTAACCCACATATGACTCGAGCCTTTCTGCAATTAATATTCGACGAGTACGAGTGGCAATCGAGCTCGGTTCATTTGCGTGGCGCAAAATAAATCGAAAAACGATGTATCAGGAAGCGTTAAAATAATGTTTGCACTGGAACAACATTTCCTTTCCTGGATAATATCGAGTAATTTAGCCGGTTATTAATATTCGGTCTGGCTGCGTTCGGCCGGAAGTAGAATATGACTGTTGAAATCAATAATGGTCACGTTTCGATGCCGGAATTATTGAAACGTTAACGAAGTGAAAAACTTTACTTATCGCTTTCGTGTAATAGATTCGCCCCTGGAGATATCACAAAATTTGATGAACCACTCTGTATTAATGACACCTACCTCACATTTACTTGTTATCTTCTTCGGGTATATAGGCTCATACCGGTACTTTTAGTTTCGAGGATGTTCGAACAATTTAACGTAGAATAATTTGGTTAGATGCAGAAGTTAATTCTGGGCTTCTGTCATTTATGATTCTAGTATGAACAAAAATAGTTGTTGAATATTCTGTTTCGACATTCGGTTTTAAAATTATATCTTCTCTCTCGTGACTGATGGAAGATTAAAAATTACATGATCTACCTTTATAAATAAATGTAAAGTTTACCTCGAAAATACATAGAATTAATTCCAACACCTAACACAATACAAACTCTTCGTTCTCTGACAATTTCACATTGTACACATCCACCATATTCTCCGCCAAAACTTTTCAATAATCTGTGTCTTATATTTACTTTTTTTTATAACTAATATCATCCACAGCACACTCGAGATATTCTGCTCGGCGTCCTCGCGTAAAATTATTAAGGAACGCGGTACCAGAGGGGGTGTAATGATGCAATTGAGAGTCAATTCGTCGGAAAAGTGGCCGCTATAAAGGCGGCCGCGTCTTCGTCGTCGGTGAATGTATTTTTTCCGTAAATAATTCAGTAAGTGACCCCGCAATGCTGCGTTTCATCTCAACGCGCCGGAACGTCCTTTTCAATTCACCGTTGCGATTCACGGCGCTTCTTTGAGCGTCCCCCTTGAACCGAGTAGGATTAAAGTGGCCGTGCCTGACGTCAAAGAATGTGAAGATTATTTGATATCCAGCGCCTCGGCGCCGGTCGATGCGTCTTGCGCGCTAAGGAACGCCAGCATTAATGAAATCTTTCAGTCATAATTACGTTCGCGGAGCCCCGTGTAGAAGGGCTCTTCCGCGACTACGCGTGGAGCGTTGCAGGGTTGTAAATAATTAAGCGGTACCAATTAGAACGATAATCACTAGAACGAGGATGTTTATGCATTCGCTTTATGAAAAAATAACGAATTTATATCGATAACGTAACGTAACCAGGACGTAAGGAAAGAAATAAAAACGTCGTAGTACTTCGATCCGCGTGATCTTTATTTCGCGTCCGAAAAACGAATGCCTTCTAACGCAACGGTCGGCGATCGTCATTTCTTTTCGTACGCTGCGCGTGTAACAATACTCTTACAATAATTAAACGAGAATATCAACGCAGATAAGAGTGAAATTATTACATGCATCTAAATCCATGGAAATTTAACTGATCCGATTAAATTTTTATTGAATTTTCTTCTTAAAATTGTTTGCAGAAATGAAGTATGAATAATAGTTACGTTTAAGTTTCAATTCACTTTCTTTACGTGCGAAAATGTGAATATGCATAAACATCCGCACGCACAATTTATGACAATTCTAGGATAGTTATTTATTGTTATGATATCTTTGTGACGATTTGAGGTATTTTAAGCAAACTTTATATATATACTGTAACGATATCTACGACAAAGTACAAGTACCGAAACAATGTACCGAAGCCATCCACGAAGAACTAACAATGTATTATAATTTATTTTCTCCTTTGAAAAGTTGTAATTTCTGTTTCTAATATAGTGACCGAGTTATTCAATAAATGAATATAATAAATAAATAGTTTGTCCTGTTTTGGTACGTGTTTACTCAACTTTTATCATATACGCTGCTTAGAATCCCAACTGACTTTACAATTTGAATAAATTAATTATTTCTACTTTTAATTTAATTCCATATTTTTCAGACAGTGTCTCGAGTAAATCTAAATTAAGACTATAAAAAACATAAAAGATAAAAAGAAGAATCACCTCTAAAATGACACTCGAAAAGCAGTCGACCATCTTATTATTCGTTACTTATTATTCGTCACTCGAATTATTCCCCAGATAAAAATTCTTCCATTTCAGAATTAGGTTCTAGCGCGCTATACTTTTCACAATATTTCTAAACGAACCCATTGGAAGTACAAGACCCGCGTGTCAATCCGGTGCCCTCGTGCAGCGCAAATTACGTTCCTCGCGCTGTAAATTTAAATCAGTGTTGACGTGAACAGGGGGTGGAGAGAACGATATTCGAATCGAGATACGGTAGATTCGAGCCCGTGACCCTAAGCGTAGTAGGGCAGGGTGAATCCAGTCGACTCGAAGCTCGAGAAAACGTTTCACAGTTCGCAGATTTTCAGTGCTCCCGAATACCACGATGTGTTATGAATTATAAATAAGTCGGCGTGCAGCGGGACAGCACTCTCGAAACGTGGTCAAAATTTAAACAATCAATTCACCATTATTCGGTACACGAATACAAATAAAGCCACCGGTGCAAGTATGTTTCATTGATATAGTCGTATACCTTTGTGGATTATTTTCGAAATACTAAAAGAATTTTTATTTTGGTAATTCGATAAGCATAGCAGACACAGGAGGATAAAGATAAATAATTGTGTGGTGCAGTGAAAAGATGTCTTTTGGAGGAATTGTGTACGATGGCAGTTTGTTTATAAATATAATTATTTGTAAGTATAATTATTTATTTTGTCTATAGTTATAATTCTATACAGGCTGTCTCAAAAATGTTGGAAAAGGGTGGTTCGGGAGATGATTTGAAACAACTTTTTCCTTAGCGAAAATGTTCTCCAGGGCTTCGTTAAGGAGATATTAATAGGAAACTACTGCGGGTGACTAGCGCGTGACCTATACTACTGCGGCTGACTAGCGCGTGACCTATACTACTGCGGGCGCTCGGTTTTCTGTGAACGTTTCCTTAACGAAACCTCGGACAACATTTTCGCTAAGGAAAAAGTTGTTTCAAATCACCCCCCCGAACCACTCTTTTCAAGGACCTCCAACATTTTTGGAACACTCTATATAATACAGTGCAAAGATACTTTTTAGAGTTATATAATAACATTTTGTCTATATTTTTCTTATTTTCTGTCACTTCACCTTTAATCTTCGATAAGAATTACGAGTCTACTTAAACTCATTCAAGATATCTGCGATTTCGATTCAAAGTCTATCACTTTGTCCAACTGTGCGTGATTCACAGGCGTCGAACGGATTGAAAGGTCGCTCTACTCGGTGAATCGCGTGCGAGTAGAAAAAAGGGGTCTGAAACGAGCGTATCGCCGGCAGTGTTTTGTTCCAAGCCACCATCGATACGTGCGTGTCGAACGTTACGTAACTTTGTTCGTTTCAGTTTTACAGGCCGTCACCCTTTTCAAAGGGTGACAACTACGCCGGTCAGCTGGACCCCCAAGGGCGTCCAATCGATTTTCAAAAAATATCTCCTTATAGAGGATGGCAAGACGAAACTATTTTATATAAACAATATATTCATTCGATGTTTAGTTTCAAAAATAAAAATCGGAAATTTAATACAACATTTTCCTGAAATTCAATTATATTTTACAATATAAATTGGTGTAACTTAACTGAATGTCACTGAAGTTCTTTGAAAGTTTACGAAAGTAAACAGATTATTTATAGAAAAGCCCACAAAACAAACGTAGAAACGCATATTAATCTGGGTAAAAATGTTGATAATGATCATCCGCGTTTTTAATTTGGTTTTCGTATTGTTGTATACGGTACTGCTTCCTTTTGCCCCTTACAATTTTATAAATTGGATATTTGCAAGAGCAGATGCATGCATCGACCATCCTAGAAAAACATCAATTATCGGAAATACAAGAGGGATAAAATATTTCCAATAATCGAACTTTTGATTGAAAAATAAAAATGTTGAACTTTCTAGCGAGCGGGTATAAATTGTATTAACGAAGTCACAAAGCGTACTAACACATACGACCCTTTGCATGCCCCAATAATGACCCGAATGACAAAGTCATGATTTATGATTTATGATTTCTCAAATAATTTAATTGGCGAGGTGCGCTATTTTTGTTCGTTTAAAAGTAATATTTACGGTTCGATAAATTAATTTCGAATAATGAACTTGGATAATATTTCTTCCCGAAAAATATTATGTATGTTTTCTTCCAGCAAGTGTAAATAAATGTATTGGGTTTGTAGAAGCTCCGGCAATCGTGGAGGAAAAATGATATGAAAGTGCTTCTCCCTAGCATACGAAATTAGATGACCTCCTTAATCGCCGAGACGAGCGAAATTCTTTCCGATTTAACTTGGACGAAGCAAAATAATGGCAAGTGATAATTAATTGCAGCCGCGGTTCCGTTCAATTCCCGCAAATGCCTCTCTGTTTTTCGCCTCGGCTATCGTTATCGATATTCCATCGTTAATTAAACAGTCTGACTCCATTCAGCCTACGAAACCCGGTTCGTTTGGTTAACGAAGCGTTTTGTCTTTGGAGAACTAAATAAACTTTGTAACCCAAGGAACTCTTGAAAATAGCAATTGCAAAAGTTTATGTTACATTGGATAAGAGTAGTCGTTCGAGTGGTTCGAGTTAGTACATTTTTAATTTGCAATTAAGAGAGAATTAAATCAAACTGACATGAGTTATTATGTAAGTACACGTAAACTTAAAATCCACTACAATTGCAATTTATAATTAACGTAACTAGGTTAAGTTTGTACGAACGAAATAAAATTAAGTTAAACCAACAAGAGGTATTAAAATATCACATGACCACGTATTAGGGGGACCAGAAAGTAATGTCGTTTTTTTTATATTAAATTCAAATAAATATATAATTAGTTTTTATTCTTAATTAAGCAGGTAATTCCCTTAATGTAACCAAATACAATTAACAATGATTCTTCTCTCTAAAAGATTAAATCTCTTCCTGTGATTCAACGATGGCTGCCGTTCTTGCGAGCGAAATCAAATCTTTCCGATTCCGCGCCAGCGAATCGATTCGATTCCGATCCCAGCCGTAGGAGGCCAGGATGTATAGCACTCGAAGTCGTTCGAAGTAACCGTTTAACCGCAGCCAGGGCAAGAATAAAATAACGCTAAATTTACGACGGGCCGTGAATCAACGTGCTTTATGATTGTTCGGGTTACGGATGATAAAGGGTGAGAACGGAGTACTAGTAGACCGGAGAGGTCGAACGAAGGCTCGCATGGTTTCGAGGGTGCAGGGGAGGGGGGGGTGGGGGGGGGGGGGGAGTAACAGGGTGAAAATTGGAAAACTGCATTGTCCAGCCGTTTCACTCCCGCGGGATACATTCGTTAGCTGCATCGTCCGGCGATAATAAATATCGCGTATCTTCCACCTTTCCGTCTTCCATTCTGGCTCAAATTAAAGATCAGCTTGATCGCGCGAGCTCGGCAAGAATAACACGACGTCCATTGTGTTTTCGATAAATTACCGATCGTATATTTCTTTTTAATGAATTTCTTTACTTAATCTTCGAGTTGCTGTGCATTGCAAGAATGGTACAGTTAGTCCTATAAGTATTCGTACTCTTTCTGTTTATTGAAGATATATTTGTAATGACGTATTTATTTATGAACGCTGAACCTATCATTTACTTAAAAAAATTTTTCTTCGATTCACATACTGGGTACGAATACTCATGGGACTGACTGTACCTATGAAGAAAGGTATCTCATCAAATGCAAAGTAATGTAAAGCAAGAATTAAATGAATGTAAAACATAATCAATTGCAAGACTGGTATGTTAGGTCGAGTTATACAGGGTGTCCCAGAATTAGTCTAAGAACCGGAACTGGGAGGTAGCTGACACGATCCTGAACCACAATTTCCTTTGCAAAAATGTTGGATGGCGCTTCGTTTTGGATTATAAACGAAAAACCACGAGAGTCAGCCTCTCGCGCGTTCGAGCGCCGTGATTGGTCGGTGGTTTTTCGTTATTAATTCAAAAACGAAGCACTATCCGACATTTCTGCAAAGGAAACTGTCGTTCAGAATCGTCTCAGCTACCCTTTCCCTCATTTCCGGTTCCTACACCACTTCTGGAAAACCCTGTATAACTTCCCACCCTTATAAATAAAATTCACTCGTCGTCGTCAGTCTCGTCATCGACGTAGAAAATCCGCGTGAGTGTGTTTCTTTTTAAAAGTGTTCGTAATATTGCTTTGTTGACGCGCGATTCAATTTCACTGTAACGAATAAACAGGTCCGTGCGACCCACTCTCTTCGCGGCGTTCGATGCACTCTACAATTCGATGGATCCGTTCGAGCGAACAACGGCGAAAAACTGGGCCGATTTAAAGCCGCCGTCCGATGCCAAATTTCGCTAAGTGATGCGATTTCGATAAAAATTCAATCTACCAGAGTAATCCGGCGTGACACGGGCTGCGCGTAATTTTGTCAAAAATTGCTCCTGCGAATACACAGGGTGTATCGCCAGCCAGACCTTCAATGAAAATTTTATATCGTCGCGTACCATTTTCAGGACTCTTCATTTCGTTAATGTGAAAAAAATGAAACGATATTATATCTATTTTCAAATAACTGTATCGACGATAATTTTATATTGTTGCATACTTGATCGACGAATTCATTCATTACGTTGAATTTGAAAGTAGAAATAACAAAATACTTCGTTACGAAACATTTATTATTTCAAACAAAATTATTTTTAGTTTCGAATAACTGTATCGAAAATAACAGTTAGAAATTAATTATAACTGATCTTTTACACTCGTTCGAACGAACATTTTTGC